GAATGTGTGTGACACAATTATTTTTAATCCACAGTAAGAATTACTAATCAGTTCTTGGTTAAAATTGAATCATCTAAGTGTATATGCAATGACATACTAAAAAGCCAATGTAAATGCTTACATCGAATGAAAACTATTTTACTAGGAATTTACATTTGTCAGAATATGTCTCCTACTGCCACAAAATGTATGAATATTCTTGGTGTCGAGATCTTAATCGACGTCCAGAACTGCAGTTATTTGGTAGATAAGCTTGCGGCTGCATGTCAACTAGAGCCTTTTGAGTACAAAGGCGAGCCTCGACGGTTGTTGGCGATCCTAAGCTTACAAGCGCTATAGAATATTCTCAAGGCGATTTTGTTTGCATATTTGTTCTAATGGTTGCGTGAAAAACTGTTTTGAAATTATACCCACATCTACTTTTACTACGAATGAATACTTATGTTTTACATTAACTTAACTACTCTAACTCACCCAGGACTGTGCAGTTTCTGAGTGTTCAGTTACAGATTACATTAAGCCGGTTAATCCTAAATTTAATCTATTAATTATTTGGAAACATATTTAAAATCTATTTCTATCATCATTCTTGTCCATGACAAGCCAGAACGTGTCACCTGACTCTCATTGTGACTTTTGTGTCGGAGTGGTTTTAAAAAGAAAACAAAAAGGCTTTGGAAACTTGAAGCTACATACATAGTCCTTCTTAACTTTTAAGGCGATTTGTTTATAAAGAGAGAGAGAGAGAAAACTATCGCAGAAAACATAAAACTAATCTTTGAAGCAGATTATTTATCGTGTCATTTCATCGGTGTGGAACATTTTGAGTATTTTAAGCGTACACAAACCAACTTAACATTTTATATATATATATGAGATTTAATACAACAAGAAACGTTCGAATACATGTCAGTAGTAGCTTCTTCAACAGCCTTTAATAGTCCACTGCTAGACATAGGCCTCTCGGCCTAGAAAGGAGGTTTCGGCCTACTATTCCACGCTGGCCAGACGGGTTGGTATAGGGTTTGTGTCAAGTTTGCCTTCTCTCTGAAGTGCTGTTGTCCTACGTAGTTTGCTCCCTTAATCGCCTCTTACGAAACCCACGGGATGAATAGGGGTGGTGACAGTCTGTATTCTTAATCTATCACCACACGGATCATAGTAGCTTGAGCAATATTAATTAAGGAAACCCTATGTATAATATTGTTTATTAAAAGAATATTACTCAAAATGTTCGTTATATAAATACATATAAGCGCGCGAATGCTCAACGCGAATGCTCAGTTTGATGACCCACAGTTTATCAAAACACAGCATATGCGTAAATATAATAAAATCACAATCATTCAAGTTAACAAGCCGTAAACGTGGACATAACGTAATCCCGTCCATTTCTGATAACAACAACCGCTTACAACCAATGATAATATCAAAAATGTACCCAAACACTGATTCCTACTGAGTTTATGTTGTAGAAACGACTCTTGAGGCAAAATATGATAGCAGAAATAGAAAAATGTTTGTGTCATGATACTTTGGGTAGACCATAAGCTGGAAGAAAAACTTTTAAAGAAAATTCATTTATTTTAATATGTTTTCAATAGTTTAATTGTAACTGACTTACAGCAAATACATATTTAAATATTCAGGTATGAAAAAATCTTGCAAGTTATTTTTTTATTTAATAAGGCCTTCCGTCCCGTCCCGTCCCGTCATTCCCTCCTGTCATTCCATCACGTCAAGCAGACGGGACACCTGAAGTTAAGTGACAACCGCCACCCACGGACGCAGGAGTCACAAATGCTTTGCTGCCCGAGAATTGCGGCACATAAAAATTGCACGATCTACCAGTCAACCTTTAGGTGGTGGAGAAAATATTGGGTTCCAGTATACCAGGGGCGTGCGCTCCTTGTAGGCAGAAATGCAGTGCTTTACTTGCTATTCACAGACATTTTAATAAAACGTTGGTACGTTTTAGATGACTTTAATTAATAGTAAATAAATGAAAAAACAAAATATAATAACTTAAAAACGCGTACTATTTACAAATAGCATAGCACCACACAAACATTGTTTGCTAAGTGTTTACCGAAAAGCAAGCGCAAAGCAACTCATGCCGTCGCCTCGCGCAGGACATTTGTTCGCATGTGTGTAGTAATTTTGGTGTCCGTGCACAGTTCGCATACGCACACACCCATTTATTTTATATGCAAGACTACAGCCGCAGGATACTGCAGTTGGCCCTTCGGGTCCCGCGCTAATCGTTGTCGTGAGTATTCGGGTATAATCGAAAGTGTTCGTTGCCTATAAATCCACCCAATTACAATAGTCAGAAATATAATAAATCATGTATGCGGATTATGAATTTTGAATATGGTAAGGTTTTATTTGTTTAATTAGCAGATATGTTTCTTGTTCGCGGGGGCCATTTTGATTTTTTCATGTGATAAGCATTGTTTACTAATTTCTATCCGCCAGTATAATTATAGTTGTATTTGAAAGTGTGTACATTTAACAGTTTATTACTGAGTTCCGTTGATTTTTTAAATTAAAAATAACAAGTTCTCACAATTCTCATTCAGTGAAAAGATTAAAATTGTGTCTAAAGGTCTGTAACTATCACTCACTTGGATAAGATATTTGAGGTGGCCGAAATCTTGCGTTTATTTACATTGGGATATAGTAATCTCAAGTAACCTTAACCTTGCATATGTGAATATCAGAAAATTGAAGATGACCAGGTGAGTAGTTATAATATTTTAGCTTATTATTTAACTTATTAGAATTTCCTCCGCCGCGATCTATCGCCGATCTATCACCGATCTATCGCAGTTTTGTCAGTGTTCCCGTTGAAGATGTACATGAATAGTAGTACATCTAAGACTTGTTCTGTTGGCATGGTTTCCGACTTAGAGATCCATCGCGTGGCTGTGGCTTAGCTAAAAATCTATAAAAGAAAAAGTTTTTGTGACCGACTACTCTGCCGCATACCTAGTGTCATAATCCTGTGCACGCCGCTGCAGTATACCTATACACTGATCGACGCGAGAACTAGTTCGGTATGTCTTCGTTACTGTCTTCGATGAAGACATCGAAGACATACCAGAAGAAGTGGTTTGTGTAACGGACTGCCATGTCAAAGGTCGCGGGTTAGATTCCCGCTCAATTAAAACATTTTTGTGCTAAATTTAATGTTTGATTAGGTCTGAGTGTTTCTATGTATCACATGTATTTACCAAAAAAAGAGTTATGTATGTATTTATATCAGTTGTCTAGTACACACAATACAAGCTCTGCTTAGTTCGGGGCTAGATAACGTTGTGTGAATGTGGTACAAGATTATTATTATTAGATGGTACTGTTGTTTTAAAATAAAAGTAAGTATTTTATTCATTGTAACTGGAAGTCGTTACATATGTATAAAACTATCGTAGAAACCCAATAAATCTTAACATATTGTGTCAGTTATACTGTGGTTTCATAGAAAACGTTGATGATTATAATCAAACTTCATTTACAATTTTATTTAACAATTTCTTACTGAACTGGAATATAATGATAAATATTTGAATAAATAATATTTTTATAATGTTATTTGTATTAAAAAAAGGTCGTTAGGGTGATCACGTAGGCGTTACCCTTTTAAACGAGCGTAGGTTTCCAATCACATCTAAGCGTAGAACAAAAATGTATTCCTGATACCGTTTTCTATACAATATATATTATATATGTATGAAGGTAAAACTACAGGACTATTGTATCCTTAATTTGAAAAAGTATGAGCTTTTCAACATCTTTTTCATATCATTATTTATTTAATATAATAATCTAAATATTTTCGAGTCGTTTACGTATCATTAATCGTTATTTATTTATGTCAAATCAATGTTTTTACGCACGTAAACTGAATGACATCATAAGGTATAAAACAATCTCCACCGAAGGTATATTCATTCGTTTACCTAAATGTCTAATACATTTGTAGAAACACAACAATTTTGGTTTTGTAAACTTACCCGATATAGGCACAATGCAGGGATAAATAAAACGATACCGTTGTATTATCATGCATATATATACATAATTATCATCAGCACATTTAAAGTCATTTGCAGAAGTTTTTGAGTTCTCTTCAACATCAACAGCCTTTAATAGTCCACTGCTGGACATAGGCCTCTTCTTAGAAGGTTTTGGTCTAATATACCACGCTGGCAAGACGGGTTGGTATAGGGTTTGTGTCAAGTTTTCCTTCTCTTTGCGATGCTGTTGTCCTGCCTGCCCTGTCCTCTCTTAGTCGGCTTTTACGACACAAGGGATGAATAGGGGTGGTGACATTTTGTATTCTTAATCCGTCACCACACGGACATATAATTATATGATCACGTCTTTTAGCAAGACAGCAGCGTATTTAACGTTCACATTTCGCTGAATATAGCTTTAATTCCATTTACGTAACAGAAGGCAAACGTGGTAGGCCAAAACCTCCATTGTAAGGAGAGGCCTATGTCCAACAGTAGACTGTTAGGGGCTTTTGATGATGATGAATAGGTGGCAAGGCTATTGCCGTCAAACGTGGGCATATATGTCTAAATAAACATTCATGTATATTTTTAAATACATTACATAGTCTTAATGAACTATACCCAGTCAACGAAAAATTATAATTTTGTTCAAAAAGTAGTAATAACTACAGATATTGTGACCTGACACTGTGTGTAATTTCATTGTAATTACATAACGTTGTTTTATGTTGTAATGTTATTATATTATACATAAATTTAATGCTTCTGATACTGAAATTTGTTTTTGTGTACGTTTTAACTTAATTAATCTGATATCACCGAAACAAGTCAAGAAGAAATAATAATACGCTAAAGATATGATATCATTGTTTAATTACGCTGGATGTTCACAGTTTGTAATGAATTACACATGTATCTGGTTGTCATAAATATTTTACCATTGTATTTATAATAAAAGTGACTTATCGTTTATTAATAATGTTTACAGACTTAGAATTTAATTACAAAATAACAACAGAAGCTATGGACAAATTTTGCCAAAACGACATCGAAAAGTTACGCGTTTGGACCCAAAACCTAGATAAAACTAAATGTGTGCCAAGGGATTTAACAGATAAACAATTAGTGTTATTTTATAATGCTTGTTATGGTGATATGGCGAATACGAAACTGTGTATAGAAAAGTACTATCAGTGCAGGAAAGACTTTCCTGAATTTTTCAATAATCGAGTGTTTAATGCAGATTTGAAGGCATCTGCAGAAGTTTTTGAGTTCTCAGTTTTGCCCGAATATTCAAGTAAAGGCTACGATATCATATATAATCGCCTAAACGACGATAACGTCTGGAAATTTAATCTAATAAATGAGATCAAGTTGCTGCTTATGACAGTCGATCTCTGTTTGACAAAACGAGGTCCTCGACCAGGGCTTATTTTTATCTTCGATTTGCAAATTAAATTCGGACATCTATTGAAAATGAATCCATTAATAATTCGAAAGTTAATCCTATATCTTCAAGATGCGCTCCCTGTGCGTATGCATGCTATACATATACTCAACGCAGAACCTATACTAGATAAATTGATGGGACTTTTAAAACCGTTCATGAATAAAAAATTCTTTGATAAAATTACATTTCACAACAAGAATGAAAGTCTGGAAAAGTTTTATGACATTGTACCAAGATCTTCTTTGCCTCCGATCTATGGAGGTACCCTTCCAAATACTCAATTACTTCACAAGAATTGTTTAGAACAACTTCACTCACTAGAGATGTACTTCAAGTCTGAAGAGGAACAGAGACTTGTGGCATTGTCTACCTGAAAAAATGAATGAGTATACTGTCAAGTGAAAAACGTTTACAATGTGACTGTTGTCTATACCAAATATTCTGTCGTAAATATTACGTAGCGTGCGTTTTTAGATATATTTATTAAGATTCAGTGTAGTCTGTCTGTCCCTGTGCTAAAATATCACGAAAAAATATATCTTTGTTACATGTTGCTTTACTTTAAATAAACTTTATCAATCTTTATCAAATATTTTGACTAATAAAGATATCGTATTATTAGCAGTTTTATAAATACAGCAGTTTTTAATCATGGTCATCATCATTTTCCTGATTCCCTTATTATTCGAAGTCGGCGCAATGTCTAACACAGTAAAGCAGTTTTAAGTGAATTTGTTTTGTAGCCAGTGGCCAATTCTTCAAAAAGAGGGAAAATGGGGGAGGACCTAAACGATATCACAAGGCTCGGATTGGTATTTGAAACTGCAGAAATTCGAAGGAGCCGGTCGTATAGTGTTTAAGCAACAGGGACAACAACTTTTTAGAACATAGAGTTTAGTCTATTTTTATTGAAAAAGTCCTGTGTGGTGACGGATTAAGAATACAAAGTATCACCATCCCTATTCATCCCGTGGGTGTCGTAAGAGCCGACTAAGGGAAAAAATACCACCACTGCAGAGAGAAGGAAAACTTGACACAAACCCTATACCAACCCGTCTGGCCAGCGTGGTATAGTAGGCCAAAACCCCCTTTCTAAGGAGAGGCCTACGTCCAGCAGTGGACTATTAAAGGCTGTTAATGATGATGATGCTATTGAAAAAAGAAAGAAAAAAAGTCTGCATAAACTTTACCTTTAATTTATTTATTTATTTATTTATTTGGTCAGCCAACGATTATTACACTAAACATTACAGAATTGACTTAAAGACTAAACATGTGTGAGTGCAATAATCACTTACAGGCTAACACCACATGCACTTAAAGTAACGGTTTTACAAGTTTAAAATAAATAGGATATAGGTAAATTATTAATTTAACATGATTAAAAACAAGTATAACAACAAAACAACCATTAATTAATTAGCAATTAAATTAAATTAAATTAATTCCGTTTTTTTGTAAGGAAAGAAAATATTAAAATAACATTTCAGATGAAGTTCAATAAAATAATTTACAATTCATTCAAAGTGATTGTACTTGAGTTATTCCAGTGAGTACTACACCAATAATATTATGCATTAAAACATTTAAAAAGTTTAAATTATGTAACAAGCTAGGATTAAATAAAATAAAAATTGTAATAGTTGTATTGTGTGTCATATAAATAAATAAAAACATATAATAAAATAAATAGAAATTTCACAAATTCAACTTGAGACAAAAATCAAAATTAAAATCAAGATTATAATAAAAATTTGTTAATTCTGAATCAAACTCACACTATAACAAAAGAGTGCTATAACCAGATAAGGTTATTATTTGTTTTGATAAAGAATAACATTACAGCTCGGTCAACAATACAATGCAGTCATTCATTTTTTTGTGTGAACTGGTTGATGATGCACTTATAAAACTTACTAATGCTATCATGGTGTAAATCAATCAAATCACTGCAGCCATTCAAAATTCTGCATAATCTGGGTATAAGTGAGTTAGTGCCTGACATTGTTCTCCTTAATGGTGGACACAGCGGTGTAATACTGTTTCGAGGATATCTAGACGGAGCCCTGAACCTTATAAGACTCAGTAAATCTGGACAATCGATTAGGTTTCTCACGATTTTAAATAAATATAATGCATCAAACACGTCTCTGCGCACCGACAGTGGGTGCATCCTAAAACACTGCAATCGGTTGCTATACGTGGTCAGATGTTTACCTTTGCCTGAAGATAATGTAAGGTATGACAGAAAGCGCTTTTGAACGCGCTCTATGCGTAACGTGTGCACGGCATAGTGGGGTCTCCACACAACACAACAGTATTCCAAGATACTCCTCACGAGACTATTGTATAACATAATTTTTGTGTTGCTTTTGAACTCTCTAGTATTCCTCATAACAAAGCCTAACATTTTAGACGCTCTTTTAACTATATTATCGATCTGAGGTACAAAAGTAACTTTACTATCGAAAAGAACGCCAAGATCTTTAATAGTTTTCACTTCCTGTATCTTTAGGTTATTAATAAAGTATTCTGACTTAAGGGGGTGAGCTCTCCTAGTGAATTTTAGGTGATAACATTTTTCAGTGTTTAGTTGCATTTTGTTATACCTACACCAATTAATGAGTCTGTTTAGATCGTCTTGCAGTAGTTCGGTATCACTAGGGCAATCAATTTTTCTGGCAAACTTTAAGTCATCGGCGTAGAGAAAACACTCAGAAAATTGAAAACAGTTAGGGATGTCGTTAATAAATAAGTTAAAAAGTATGGGAGCCAGATGTGAACCTTGAGGGGCTCCAGAAGTTATGCCACGACCTGTAGATTGAAAACCGTTCACAACAACAAAGAATTCTCTCCCCGTCAGGTACGATTTTATCCATTCGAGCAAGGGTCCTGTGATACCATAAGCTGACAGTTTATGTAACAGTATCTTATGCGATATCTTGTCGAATGCCTTGCTAAAATCAGTATAAATGACGTCATACTGTTTATTTACATCCATAGCCTGCACCAGCGATTCCGTAAACGTTGATAGGTTAGTGGCTGTGGACCTTGACGCAACGAAACCATGCTGTCGATCACTAATGTACAGTCTCAGATGTCGCTGGATGGAAGGACATACCATAGCCTCAAAGATTTTAGCAAAGGTCGACAGAATAGAAATAGGCCTATAATTAGATATTGCCTCTCTTTTATTCGACTTATATACTGGCACTACTTTAGCTTTTTTCCACTCTCGTGGGAACGTGCCTGTACACAGCGAAGTGTTATATATACGTAGAAGCGGGGAAGTCAGGGCAGATGCACAGGCAGATATGAAAATCGGTGGGATACCATCAGGACCCGGCCCTTTTCTAATATTAACAGTTTGCAGTTTCTTAAGTAAGCTGTCATAGTCAAAAGTTGGGTAGGTTAAGGACAGGCTGTTACTATTCAAAGAGTTCAAAAATTCAGATTCGCAATTAATCTCTTCGTCGTCGTCTTGAGTATAAACAGATGAAAAATAATTCGCAAAAAGATCACAGATGGTTGGACCATCGGATGTTGTACTCTTTCCATCGGTCATAGACAACGGGTATACACTGGATCCTCCACGTTTTGCTTTTACGTGCGTCCAAAAGAGCTTAGGATTATCCTTGATTTTGCCTTCCATATCTTTCATATAACTGGAATACAGAGTTTTAGCAAGGATTTGACATCTCGTAGTAATTAGCTTTAGTTCTATTCCATCTCTTGGGTTTTTATATTTCTTGAAGCGTACTCTAATTCTATTTTTTTCCTTAAGAGCTCTGATAATGTTCTTATTAAACCATGGGGGAAAAGGGCTGTTTAATGGTTTACAGAATGGCACATATTCATAAATGGCCGTATTTAAAGTTTTGTAAAAAAACTTTAACATGTCATTCACATCTCTTTCTGGAGCGAGTAGTTGATACCAGTTTTGATTATTTAAGTAATTGTTAATTTCCCCATAGTCCGCTTTAAAGAAGTTCGGTCTCTTACTTAATTTATTATAAGAGAGATAATTTTGTTTTGACAAAAATATAGTTACATCTAACGGGGGATGTAGTTTGTCGACAACAGTGAAGGGGGAGTTAGATTCATCCACTGAACAAGAATGTACTGTCGACAGAACTAGGTCCAAAATACGTCCCGAACAATTTTTTATTTTATTGTATTGGATAAGTTTATTTGTGTTTGCAAAATCTAATAATCGCTCGCACGCATTCGGCAGGGAAACGTTATTGGCACCTATCTGCCAGTCTATCTTAGCCAAATTAAAATCCCCGATTATACAAACAGGCATGGTTGTGGTATCAAATACATTATTACAATGCTCAATAAAATGGTCAAGTCTTGATACACATAGTGGTGGTGGCAGGTAAACTGCACAAAGAGCCATTTGACGTGAAGTATTATTGGAAAGATCGATTGTGACCCAAAGATCTTCACAACTACTTTGCCACATATCCATACGACGAGAGTGAATTTTTTTTGAAACAGCAATAAGCACTCCGCCTCCGTTTTTTTTACTTTCGAACCCTGTAGTTTCCCGGTCTCTTCGATACACAACATATCTCTCGTCAAATAGCTCCTCGTTAAGTATACCACTGTTTAACCAAGTTTCTGTCAAGATAATCACATCATAGTTCGCACAACATAAGCCACAATAAAAGTCATTGGTTTTAGTTCGAAGACCTCTACAATTTTGATAATATAATTTTAAGTTAATGAATTTTAGTAATAATAATTCATAATCATGCATAATATATTAAGATATTAAATATATTAAAAATTAGATAATTTTGTTCAGACTATTATTGTTCCTAATTAATATATAATCCGAACCTTCAGTTTTTCTGACAAATATTCTGCCATTTCTGACCCACACATACTTGTAGTTCTTTTGTTTTGCCTTAATCCTTGTGGCTGCGTGGAGGGCCTTGTTACTCGGTGAGAGGTGTTCAACCACGTATATTGGAGTCCTGCGCCCACTGATTCCCAGGTGTTCGCAATTGAATTTAATGGAGTCTAATTAGGTTTTTGGAGTGATTTGTGATTGTGTGAGATTTGGGATCTTGCCTAAATTTATATTTGGGTAACAGCACTTGACTACGAAAGACATTTTTCATTTAATATTCATGTAATATATTTTCAAAATTTATCGATTATTCGCATACATACAAATTAACGCTCGAGTTATAAATCGCCGATGTTACGAGTTATCGATCGATGTCATAGGTTCAATGTCAGAGGCGTCTTACGCAGTAAACATATTTTTATTGCGAATTCTTGTATTTGTATAACAATCACTCTGTGTCGATTTCTCTCATCATTTCTTCTTACTTTTACATTCAAAAGAAGTATGGATTAC